CCAATCTAGAAGAGTTTTAAAGTTAAATTAAATCAATATTCAATAGTTTTTTATGTTCAACAACTTTCTCTATAAAGCCAGTTCATGATGAACCATAATGAAAGGAAATATTTTACTGCCAAACAACAACTTTATTTCAGTATTGAACGAATAGTTTCATGATATTAGTGTCTGAACGGTATTGATAATGAAAATAATCATTGTAAACACTTTAGCAATTGAACTGAAGTAACTTAAACATTCCGCTTGTAGCCTTATCCTAGTATAAACAAGGTCAAAAAACAACTATGTACACAACAACTGTCTGATCAAGTCACATTGAATATGGATTAGTGCGTTCAAGTTGTAAAATATTCTTATTTAAAAAACTGATGACCAAATTTGGCAATAGAGTTATTTAATTATGTTTTTAAAGTAAACGTTGAGAGTCACTTTAAAACACTTTTTAAATTGAGTCTCAACCTTTACAGTATTAGTGCCTTAAATCCCAGATGAAACCACTAGCAATTTCATGTGAGTTTGAATTTGTTACGTCTGGCCGATTGTGAACGCTATATTCGCCTCCCTAAGCTAGTTCCGTACCCCCGAGCTAGAACTTTACACCGATTTGAAGACCAGAGAAAAGGCACAAAGTGTGAGGGAAGCACTTCACTACAGGGTTCATTTATGTACAGAAAACATTGAGATTTTATAGTAATTTAAGAGTCCTTAAGTTTAACTGAAAGTTCTAGAACACTGCTAAACATAGTAGCAGTGTATAAATCAGCCAATCAGGATCTCCACATGTGACTTTTCCATTTTCGTTGTTTTAGTAACATAACTTCACATAACTTCTAATTAATCGCTGATTGGTTGAAATGCACCTTGATGACCCCTGAGCTTGTTATATCGCTTGCGAGAAAAATGCAGGGTCATCCCAACAGAATTGGTTGTATTTAATGATTAATGGCTGTTTGCAAGAAATCTTATACTCTCTTCGAGTAAGAGGTTTCAGATATAGATGACTATTTATTCGTCCTAGATCCATAGTGGATAAACAGCTGTACACAGATTTTCGTCTATGCTTTCAAATATTTCACTGTACAACAATGAAAGATTTCAACATCATTGACGGATTCATATACTCTAAAAGTGATATCGATAAAGATGACAATGAAAATGCTATGAGTAGTGTTGTATTCTCTGAACTGAAATGTTTGATTTCAAGGTTTTCATTGTTCTAGAAAACATCATTAGGGCTTAATTAAAGTGGAAGTTAGCGCTTTGATTACTTCACAAATATCAGATCAGTCCTTCATGATGAATTTGTTTCTGACTAATCTCTTTCATGAGTTCGAAAATCTTCATATTTCTTTTTCTTCTTGTAGGTTGTTTCTGTTCATTCAAACTCTGTTCATTAAATTGGTTGACCTTCAACTAATGAGTTGATAAATCCAATCTATATCGATGTGACTATAGGATGGTGATTAATCTAGATTCCATATTTCTGGAAATCATTTCCTGAATTCTAGATTTCGACATCTACCTAATCAAATTGATGTCTTTTGTTGTACACACTCAATGGTCTAAATGTTAGCATATCATGCCTTTCCAGCAATAGTCTGTGTTTACTCATCATCTACATACAAACAGCTCCACAGCTATTGAAGTCATCTAAAGTGCAAATCTAAATAAATTAGTTTTACTTCCTGTTGCAACCGAAAAGTTACAATTGATAGGCTATGGCATTTATACATAAAACACTGGATTTAGTAGATAAAGATGGATTTCAACATTGAAAGCATCACATATATATGAGAAAACCATGACACAGTAAAATGTCAGCAACTACAGTGACATCATGAAACAAATGAAAAGGTACATTAATCAACATACACCATCTATCATGGCCTACTAACATGAAGAACATGACTCAAAACCTACCGTGAAATCAACAATCCCATTGATCACTAAAATGTTTGGTGATTTTCAAACTTGTACAATGAATATTGTTAAAGTAAAAATGGCTTTAGACCATATCCATGACCATATTAGCCATTACCACTGTTATGTTGATGGTTTTACAAAGCTTTATCAATTTCGGAGGACATAACGGATAACAGGTGTCGGATTCTGTTATATCTACCTGTCTTTAATTTCATACTTCATCGAACCACAATCAAACATCAGAACTGACCATTACTTAATCATCTTTCTTAAACATAACTGAAATCATATTGACCATTCACTGGAATTTTCCATTTCATATTACCACTTCGTGATGAATCTTGTACAGAATATACACATGATTATTTTGCATTTAACATTAAGCTAATTATCATTGATTTTGATAATAAACTACATTTTAATGAATTAGGTTAATTTCCATCTATCATGAATGGGAATCTGTACTTTAATTTCAGGAAACTTAAGTTCTATCAAATTTCTAGGAAGTTCAATTTGTGTTCATTGATTTTCATAATCAATCCGAACATAAAGGGTGGAATGAAATGTTTCCTCTATTTAGAGGTTTATTGGCTAAGTGGGAGATAATTTAGTGAAATTAATAAAATACTGGTCATGATATTTTGGGTAATTGAAGTTCATCAGGGTAAACTGAATGTTACACATCCACAATTGAATGTTAATCCTAAAATACGAAAAATGGATTAGAATTCGAGAAGAAGTGTTTGTGGGACAGTGTTATTTTATTCAAATAACACTTCATAAAATACATGTACATTTGTATATACATAGAGAGAGTGAGAGAGGGTGAGTGTGTGAATTCAATTCTATTGAAACATATATCAGAAGCTGTAGAGATATATACCAAATGACTATGTAAAACATTTTCTTAAAATTGTAGTGAAATTAAATTTAGATCTGCTTCTTATCGGATTCAGTATGGATAAGAGTTCCAAATTCGCTAAATGTGTTACTTGATAAAGCTACTTGAAGCTAATCACTGACAGTCCTACACATCAATGGGAAGATTCAAACCCTAACCAATATATATATATATGAATTGAAATTATATATTACTTAGTTTAGGCATATCTTAAATAACTCTCAATGTGCTATACCCTACAAACACATGCAAAATCTGTAAAACTAAGAAAATCACACATTTGAATACATGGTAGGTGGCTTGTAAATTTGTCATGTAAAAACTAGATTGAAATTTTCAGTCCACTGCAGTCAATTCAGTGAAGGCATCAAAAGTGTTATGGATGAAGCATTGAGAAATGCTCACTATCCATATCAAATTCTAGGAATAAATGCCTAATTTCAATGATGTATCAATACACATCACATATAGAAATAGTTTGGAAATGTAGGCGCCTATTGAGATCTTTCGGTGATCATACATTTTCAAAACGTCCAGTGGTTGTATGATCACATAACTTTAAGAACATTGAGAATTTTCGTTTAAATTAGTGTGATGTTTAAGATCTCTATAGGTTTATTTACTTAAAAATAAGCTAATAAAACAACACTTTGAACATATGCTCTTTATTTTTTCTTGCATATGTACGTAACTGGTGTCACAGTCAGTGTTTGATGTAGTGCAACAGCCATTATAACCCATTCATACGTCATTGTTTCAATTCCGACTTAATTGATTACATTAGTTTTAGATTAACAATACTGCTTCAGTTTACAAACGCGTCTTGCAAAGTAACCTATAAACGTTAGTAAATTTCTCGCATATTTTACTAATCTATTTCAAATCAAAACAGATCACGTGATAGTTTGTTGATCCTTTTAAGGCAGAGATGTTTCTGTGACCTCCAGATCCTACATTAATTTGCTTCATCAGGGAATAAATAGACAGTTCACAATAGTGGATAATAAAGTTGTAATAACATGGACTCGAGATTTTTCTACACATATCAATAATCTACAATGGTCAAATATATTCACCTTCCCTTTTTCATTATGTCGGTAATCAAATACATAATGTTAGAATAGTCAATGACTAAAATCCCAGTTTAGAATTGTATTCAAACTTAAATGAAGGTAAATGTTTGCACTTGCATCTGTTGATCTAAAGGACTGTAATTGATTGGTGTTTATTGGTATCTATACATCTTGAATTCACTACCTTAATTTCATCTCTTCATTAGATCTTTATGTGTTCATTTCATCAACAATCACGAAGAAGTAGACAATTTTTAAAAATTTTTGTAGGTGGTATTGAGACAATTGATTATAGCTTTAAAATTACATTGATGTAACTCTCATGTCAGTTTGCACATATATGAGGAATTGCAAACTAGAACAAACTTAATGTACAACGAACCTTCAACTGATATCATTTTATAATGAAAAAGCAAATGTTGCTGATTATCTCAATTTTGCTTTACAGTTAAATGTCGTTACTTTTTTGTATCAAGAATAATGGTATAGTTTAGAATGAACATCTCTTTCTAGTTGTGAATCATCAGCCTGTTATATTTCTGTTTAAGTCTTTGTATGCTAATCAGTATCTATAAAGATATTATAGATTAAACAGTGTTTAATGCAGTAGGTGCCAGTTTTTAGTATCTTACTGTGAACATCAATAATAAGATAATAGGTCTATTATTCTGAAAATTCAAGTGAAAGAAACAAAAACACTGATCCTAGATTTTGATTAACTCCTCCTGTAGCTCTTTCGGGGGCTACTGCCATTCTGAAGCCCGGATGAAATAGAAGAGTTGAGCATGGGGTTAGTCACTTCATCCCATTTAGTAAAGCAACTCATTAAAAAACAAAACGCTAACCAGAAAAAAAAAATTATTCAAACTAGAATTCTGATTCAAATCATAATCTTAAATATGATTGTCTATTACTTTATATGTGTTGTTTATTTTAATGTGTACATATACTTAACCAACCAAAAAATTCATAATTTACAGGTATCATTTTATTCAAATTTCATAGGATAAACTAAAATCGAAAAAATTAATTTCTATAAAAATAAATTAACCAATCAAAATTCAGATTTAATTTTTCTTTATTTTATTTTAATTTTATTTATTTAGCAAATTATTTAATTATTATTAATAATGATCATTATTAATAAACTATATGGAATTATAATTATGATATATTAAAGAAAAAAAAAGAAGGATTTCATTATTACGTAATCATATTAGAATTCATCTATTTTTTCATCTAATTATCTTATCTCATATTAGTAATGATATATAATTTAACATGTTTTAATGCACTAATTGATTTTACTAATGAAGGTATTATGATGTATAGATTTCGTGCTTATATAACACCATTAATTGTATTATTTGGTATAATTGGTAATATACTTGTTATTATTATATTTATTAAAATGCAAAAAAAATCATCATGTCGTTTTAATTGTTATATAATTGGTATTACAATAGCACATATAATGGAATTAATATTTAATGCATTTTTAGATGATTTTATTGGTAGAGGTTTAGCATGGTTAACAAATTGTAATATTAATATTAAATTAGATACATATTCATTAATTTTATGTAAAATTTTATCATATATACCAGAAACATCCGGTATTATATCAACAAATGTTTTAATATTATTTAGTATTGATCGTATAATTACTGTATTTAATCCAATTAAATTTCGTGGTGATCGTTATTTATATATAACTTATATTGGTATATTAAGTATATATATTATTGGTATAATATTATATTTACCAACAGCAATTCATTCAGGTATTGTATTAAATTCAAATAATTATACAATATGTCAATTTGTTGATCCATTAAAATTTAGTGTACAATATAATTTATATTTATCTAATATTGGTGCTACTATTATACCAACTATAATAGCATTTATTACAACAATTATAATTACATTAAAATTACGTCGTTTATTTAAAGAACGTTATATTATGTGTCAATATTATGATCGTCATAATAATTCAAATGAATTACGTCGTATTGCTGGACATTTAACTATGACAACAATATTTTTTATATTAAATATACCATTAATTATTGTTGTATTATTAAGACAACATTCAGATTATAGTTATTATCATTTAATATATCCTAATTATACTAATCAATTAAAACATTTATCAAAATTATTTAGTTCTATTAAATCAATTAATGCTGCTATGGAATTTCCTACATTTTTTATATTTTTATCATCATTTCGTCAACATTTTTATTATTTATGTTGTCATAAAAAAAAACAAAAAAAAACAAATTTAAAAGATATTTTTAAATTAAATAATATACAAGAAAAATGGAAAATAATTTTAAAACGAAATTATGTAAAATCAGATACTACTACTACTACTAATACTAATACTAATAATAATAATAATAATAATAATAATCGATCCATGGATAAGATCTATCATACAAATCGAAACGTACAGTGATCAATTATTGATTACCTGGAAAAGGTACTTCTGAGTATACAAAAAAAAACGAGACAAAAAAAAGAAAAATATAATAAAGTTTTTCCTTTATTTCTCATTACTGTATTATTATTATATATGAAAATTATATTTGAAATAATCTTAGCAATTGAAATTTAAATAATAATTTTAATGTTTCATACAGTTAACTTGTTTGAATTCTGAAGAAGTTCAGATAAGTTTAGCTGGACGAAACGTTGGAATTATTATTTAAATTTTAATGATTGAGATTATTTTAAATATAGTTGTGTTTTTTTTTTTTACATATAATGACTTCTGTATAATTGGTGCCCAATTTTTGTCAAACTATTCGTTCTAACCTTGACGAATATTCAGATAAATTACTGTATTATTATGAAGATTATGTTACACTAATTGTCATAAGATTTCTTTTTTTGATTTTTATGTATATTCTTGTTACTGGGGCACAAATTATTGATTGTTGTTGGTTATCAAGTGTTTATTGTTTATTATGTACTATTGTTTCTTTTTGTGTTTTGTTTTATTGTAAAGAACATATTCAGTTGTTAACTATGGTTGTTTTCTTTAATTTAGTCTACTAGTTTGATATTAAAAAGGACTATAGGTCTCAAAATAGTTTCATAAACAGTTAAGAGTTAATTTTCTATGGTTAAGATCGTGAGTCGATTGAAGTTAGACCACCATGGAAAGCCTGGAAGTACTGCTTAACGACCGTTTCGTCCTAGTTTAAAACTCCTCAACAGTGCGCAACCACGATCCCGCCTCGCCAGATTCCAACACAGGAATTATCATTCTCGCGCGCGAGCACTTAACCGATAGACCACTGACATGGCCGGTATCCAACGGTGTTAACGCCCGACTTCAACCGATCCACGAAATCGACCATTTACCAATATCTTCAGTGACTTGAAACGGCCGTCATGCAGTGTTTCCAGGTTACCCATGGTGGTCTAGCTTCAATTGACTCATGATCTCAACTATAAAATTACTAAAATCTCCGCAAAACCCTGTTTAGTTAAGACTTAAGTTCATTTACTGGGATTTATAACTAAGAATTATATTATTCGATTCATTTCATGAATTATTTTTAATTTAATCTGTGAAAAAAATATAAGCCATTTGATTGATGTCTTGTTTGTGTTATTTTAACTAACAGATTTTCACTTTGCGTTTGTCATACTGTCACTTGATAAGAGTAATGTGAGCATTTTTATGCTACAATTGGAATATCATTTAAAGACACAGAGTATTAGACTACATCTCTTTAAAAAGACACACCTATTAATATACTTCCACAACTGTCCAAGACTAAGCGTACAAGTTGGGTTTTACGGTATACAAGCTGATAAATACATAATACTGAGTTAAACCGTTAGATTACATATTATCTGTGTTTTCACAGTTCAGTCTGGTGTTAAGGCTTCATGAAAGTTTATGATAAAACCAAAATAAACTACTAAATAAGTGTACATTGTGAATGATTACTGATCTGAATAACCTTGGATATTAAAAATTGGTAAATAAGTTAATTACACGGCATTAAAATACAAAAGTACGCATTGGCTATACTGATCTCAGCGTACCAAATATACTGCTCATCGGGACATTTAAACGTATACAGATTACTGCTTTATACTATTCTTAGTTGTATCGACCACGTAAAACGTACATCTCAAGGCACATAGACTGAAAGAACGAAAACAAGAGTGAGTATCATCATCAATACGAACATTTCACATTAGTGTATTTGCTCATCATTTACCTAATGGCGAATATGATTTCAATGTCTTAAAGTCCTTCAAGATAATGGAAAAACCATTTACGTTGAACTTATTACGTTTTAGAACAACATATGTAAGCGAACAATTGTTTTCAATTAGATCGTCATCAGGCTTTACTCTAATATACATGAATATTTATATAAAAATGTTAGACCAATCAAGGCTATTTGAGTCAATAATCACAATATCGGAATATTAAATTACGAAAACAAAAGTCTTATCAATAATTAAACATTGAGAATTAAGAGGTCAAACGTGGGTACATAGACCGGAATAGTAATCACAAAACATTAAAATTATTACGTAATAAGAAGTATGTAAGTAAAAAGATAGTGAAGAATACAAACGGAAAGAGGTAGAAAATTACAAAAAAATGATAACCAAAATAAAATTTTTACAAATAATAATAATGTCATTTATTAAGTTATGTGCGGCCATGGAAGGGATAGGGGGGGGGTACGAATTTCTTCTGTACACATAAATTGGGATGGAATGTACGAATTCCTATGGCTTCTGCTATATGAAGTAGACGGGAGCGAACTCCGTTGGGAAATGATGGAGGTATACGATAGATCACTTGAAATGACTTCAATTTATCGACAATATGACCACTATCAATTAGATATGCCAAGATAGAACTGCGTATTGTTTTTATTTGGCCCTTTCCAAACCATGCTGGTAGATGTTCACTCATTCGTTGGTTAATTTGCCTAGTAGTACGCCCGATATAGCTACCTCCACAGGAGCAGCTGAACTTATAAATGCACATAGAGGAGGCCAACTCAGGTAACTTTTCCTTCGTTTGAGTAGACATCACTGGTCGACTCGAGAAAGTCAATGCGAGATAGGCTGTGTAGAAAGTTCTACTAATTACTTTTGTTAACCTATCTTCCAGAGTTTCACTAGCTACATCCCCGTTGAATGGTAATTTCATGTAAAGAGGCTTCTTACGAACAATTGAAATCTCCGATTGTATCATACATGTACTTTTTGATGAACGCAGCAGGGTAGCCGATCTCAGTCAGTGAGTTATAGATAAATTGCAGTTCCTGACTTAAAGTATCAACAGAACTATCAGTTCACCTGTCTTCCCACTATCAACTTGTACTTTTAATTATTATTATGCTTGGTAACGTATTCTATTTCATTGTGATTGACTCAAATAGCCTTGATTGGTCTAACATTTTCATATAAATATTCATGTATATTAGAGTAAAGCCTGATGACGATCTAATTGAAAACAATTGTTCGCTTACATATGTTATTACGTTTTACCGAAGTAGTTGCTTTAAATAGAATAAGTATCCGTAATGACGCAGTTATCAACTTTGTTTTTATCATTGCGACATCACTTGTATATGTCAATGACGTACCTTTTCCCCTATGAAATTAATCATAATTCCTTACTTTCCATTTAATCTATACTTAAATAATTAATTTTATTTTCTTATTTAATCATAATGTTCATATTTTATATCATTTCTAGTAGTTCTATTTCGCGTGCCGTTTTCATTTTTTCTTTCCTCTAGAATATTCATCATTTAACTTATAAATAGACAATCATTTAAACAAACTTTAAATCCCTTATAGCAGCTCACATACAATTGAGTTTGTTTATATCTAATTTGGTTAAGCCTTTTTACTAACTTATTTAACGAACAGAGTCATTCTCACAATAACAATCAATCTATTATACTAATGTACCTTTATTATGTACGCTTGAGCCTACTCATGTATTCATTCTGCTAGCCTTACTATTAATCGCTTAATTGATTCGATGATTCATTCATTTCCATCTGTTATATATGTACATCACTGTACTCGCTTACTAACTGAATCGATCAATCGGTCTCTAGCTCGCTCATTCGACTCGCGCTCTCACTCACTTGCTTTACGACACTATTCTCTCATGCTTGCTTAACGTGCCTGTAATTTTGAATATCTGTGTGTGGTTCAATAATAAATGCAGTCAACACTTCGTATTTGCCTTCTGATTTATACATCGTTGGAGCGTTATGGAGTAACGGTTATCAGGACGAACAATATACACAGTTTAAGGATAATATCGAATATCGACCACCACACCCTTTAAAATTATTACATTTTTTCATAGTTGAAAGCGTGAGTCAATTGAAGCTAGACCACCATGGAAAACCTAGAAACACTGGACGGCACTGGATGCGCACTGCTGAGGAGTCCCATAATAAGACGAAACGGCCGTCCAGTGTTTCCAGGTTTTCCATGGTGGTCTAGCTTAAATTGACTCAGGCTTTCAACTATGATAAATACTAAATCTCCACAAAACCCCTTCCATATTACATTTTTTGTCAATTTAGATATTAAACCTAGTTTCAATCAATTTCAATGTTGTAAACAACTGAAATGAATCTATGAGATAAATGAAATTATACTAATCTTTTGTGTTCATTATTTTTTGTTTTAGTCAAAATATAAATGAATAATCATAACATTTATATAGAATATGCAGCTTTCATTTACTATTTCCTATGTAAGCTACTTTACAACTCTCTATTTTGATGTTAATATCTAACTAATTCATTATCAGAAAGGGGTTTTTTGGGGAGATTTTAGTAATTTTATATAGTTAAAAACATTAGTCAATTGAAGCTAGAACACTATGAAAAATCTGGAAGCACTGCTTGACGGCCAACTCGTCCTATTGTGGGACTCCTCAGCAGTGTGCATCCACGACCTCGCTTCGCACGATTACAACGTAGGACCAGTCAGTCTCGCGAGCGAGAACTTAATCGGTAGACCACTGAGCTGGCCGGTATCCAGCGGTGCAAATGTCTCACTTCAACCAATCCACGAAATTGAGCAACCATGAATTATTAAAGTCTCCACAAAAAACGCCCTTCTGATAATGATCATATGCTCACTATTGACTGGCTCCATGAGATATTTCATGCAGTTCTAGTGAAAAGTAGTAACCAGTGGAGTTCAACAGGGTCTGTTGGGAGATATCAACTCACTGAAAAGATTGGTGAATGGTTTCTCAATTTCGTGGATTGGTTGAAGTTAGACATTAGCACCGCTGGATATCGGCCAGGTCAGTGATCAAGCGCTCGCGCGCGAGACTGATAGATCCTGGGTTTGAATCTCGTGAGGTGGAGTCGTAAATGCGCACTGGTGAGGAGTCCCACAATAGGATGATTCGGCCTTTTAGCAGTGCTTCCAGGTTTTCCATGGTGTTATAGCTTCAATTGTTTGATAATTTCAACTATATAAAATATTCCATTGTTTGAATTGTATTCATCTACTACCTTTTTTCATTATATTGATGAGTGTTTGATATTTAAGGGGCATATTTTTGTTTGAA